CGCGTTTAGCCCATTGCCTGGCATAAATGTATAGAATGTACGTAAAAAAAAAACGATTACAGATATTATCAATTATAGTATCGATATGTAGTCAAAAAAGCGTCGAAGAACAAATAATTGTAACGACATGTTGAAGCCACGCTAACATGTACTAGTCTCTGACTTTGTTATACTATATACCTTATACAAAATAAAGGTATATACATTTAGCTATTTTATTTTCAGATACATGTGTCTGTGGTCACGCTGGAATATCGTATTTTTTATGCACCAATAAAAGTTTAATGATTAAGGCTGCAAACACAATTCTAGTGATCATTAAAACGGAAATGTGTACAGTGATAGCATTTTATTAAGAAAAAAATGTATGTGGACCGGATTTTCAGAAATCACATTGTTTTAACGACATAAGCATTAACTGTTATACATTTCAAAAAGAGATGCGAAAGATACCAGAGGGACATTCAAACTCTTGTGTCGAAAACAAACTGACGACGTCATGGCTAAAAAAGAAAAAGACCAACAGACAAACAATAATACATAAAACACAACATAGAAAACTAAAGACCGAGCAACACGAACCCCACCAAAAGCTAAGGGTGATCTCATGTGCACCGGAAGGATAAGCAGATCCTGCTCAACATGTTGCACCCGTCGTGTTGCTCATGTACAAACTCGGTAATAAGTCTAATTCGGTAGCTAACATTCGGGAAAAGGGACGGGATTGTAGTTACGACATAAGGAACATATCCGTTTTCATCTGTGAAACGGATATTCAATAACGATGAATCAACTCGTGATGGCGTCCGTAAAACATACGAAGGGATGATTTCAACTTCACAACTTGGAACTCTTTGTTTAATAGCTTCCTTGTGAGTAGCAGCCCTATATCAAGGAAATCATTAAAGGAAATACAAGCCCTGGAATATTGTATCTACTGGGAGATATATACTCCGTATGCAGGTGCTGCTGGAATGTTGCTACATAGAAATGGAAAGTTCACAATTGGGAAGCTGAAATCATCTCTTTTTTTCGTAAAGTTTTGTTTTCAATCGATCCTCATTGTCAATTACTTGATGGAAGTCAAGATATGAGGCAGACTTAACTGTATCTGCGGTATTCTTTATCTCAAGTTCGATTGGATAGATACGTTCAACATAGTCACCAAAATTTTGAATTATTTAGTGAGAGAACATCATCTATATAGCTTTAAGTAAAGTTAAAGGATACTGCTAACTTCCTTTTTGTCTTCCTGTATGAAGTCAGCCTCATATGAATAAAGCAACAATTCGGAGAGAAGAAAGGTACAGTTTGTTCCCATGGGAATGCCGATTGTTTGTTAAAAACACGTATTACAAACGTAACAAATATGTTGTCAATCAAGAAATCAAGCATCTTGATAATTTCAGTTTCATGAAATTTGTTGTTTGACTTTTCACAAAGTAGGATTTATCTCTCCCTAAGAAAAGATACTCGTATCTACGTTGGCCTTTTTTTTATGAAAAAAAAAGCAGGATCAACACTTTCAATTTATGTTTTAGTTTGGAATTGGGAATAATGTGTAAAGTGTAGAAAAGTCAAATGTTTTAATAATATTGAAAAAGAAAAGTGTCTTAGATTGTATGTACTCTTAAAGATCTTTGGAAGTTTTTAGTATCCACATCATTCCGTATTGTCGGCTATAAATGCCAAACAGACCATGCTGTCTGCCAAAAAAAAGTTCAATTATTTTTTAACTCCGATATATTCTCAACATGTACTGTACATTTAACACACAAAAGATTAGACAAAACAACAGGGTGCGATTTTAATAGATTTGACAAACGTTGAACTAAACGGGAAATTAATTGTGGTATGTAGCCTACCCGGATCGGGACAAGATAAAAGTGCTCTTCGCAGCCTTGCCTGTACCAAGTCAGGAATATGACAGTTGTTGTCCATTCGTTTGATGTGTTTTGTCATTTGATTTTGCCATGTGATTAGGGACTTTCCGATTGAATTTTCCTCGGAGTTCAGTATTTTTGTGATTTTACTTTCTACCTGTTTCTTTACCTTTGTAAAATATATATGTTTTATATAGTTGTTCTATATTTACACGAACTACTACATTTTGACATTTTTGGATTATACAAGTGCGCAGCCACGTCCATATAGTATTAAGTTTTATTGATTTTGTTCTATGAGGTGCAGGATTTCAGATTAAATGAATTGCATAATATTAACATGTACCTGTACGAACGAACTGATAATGCATCCAATAAAACATTGACACAGAATATTGCATTTGCTGAGCCGACATATCTGTCTATACGATTTTATGATAGTATCGTTGCACAAATCTTAGGACTTTAATAATTTGTTTCTGATCTGTGAAGTATCGCCAATTATAGAAGGTCCGATACTTACTAAATTTGTTCGTTGGTCGTTTTTATGAGCTTCTTTATATAACACATTTATGAAGATTTTATTAGTTATTACACAAAGCAAGCTCAAAGGACTTTACCTGTTGTAATGAAATAATACCGTCCTTCGCCATAATTTCGGTGAAAATAATTCAAAGACGAATTAACAGTGTACAATATTCTAACAATACAGAAAGAAACAATTGTGCAGAATTAATTATCCATAATTTTATTCAAAATAATAAATTGTAATACTAGTATTGTTTTATGTTATGAGGAAGAACGACTAAAATCGGCACTACATAAGTTTAACGGTCACCATAACGTATTGGTTGACAGATACGCTTTGTCAGTGTCTCAACCCACTAAAGACATGCTTTCGCAGTATTTTATCTTTAGGTACTAATATATCGTCGTTTAACCGATAGTGTCCTATTCCGGATTCACTAAAACATACGTCTCTTGAGCCAAAAAGAAAATTTGAAGGACATTTCCAAACTTATGCTTTAGAAATAATATAACGGGGAAAATCCGAATGCGATATATCCCTTTCAATTAAATTCATGGAGATATAATCAATGATCTGCAACCAATATATGTGTGATAAAATTCAGTGGATGTTTTACTATTTTATTATATGATATCTCTGCTGTTCAACTTAAGTCATGAAAGTATCACACTGATTGAAATTGGAAACATGCGCGCATAACGAGTCACTTGAGAATTGTGCAACAGATAATAATTTGCCAACAGAACATCATCATCAATGAAATGACAATAAACCAAAAAGAAAACATACTTTTTATCATATATTTTTGGTATGACGATTACCATGAGCAATTCAAATATCACGATATAAATACAACATTGGTCACTTATACTGTTCGACTTAGTTAGAGGAAGTTCAGTTGTTTACATTTTGATTGTAAACTAGTACTTAGAAAATTCCGAATTGTTGACAATTAATGTCTGAAGATATTGATTAAACATATATCAAGTGGGTTTTTATAAGAAAATTCTTTTAACTTTGATTTATGAGAGTAATAATCAAAACATTCTCAAATAAAAAAGATTAGTTATTTAACAGGAAATCATAAACCATTTGTTTAAGCGGTAGCAACTTTACATCACGTGATGGAGTTTTATCTAAAAACTTTTGATTATAGCAGGAAGGACTTAATCTTTGAGATTAATTTTGTGTTAACTTACACTAGGAAAAGATGCACATTTTCATAGTTTTGAGCATAACATCTGTTTATTTATGTAATACTGTGTTTTCAGAATGCAATATCACATCAGAAATGTTAGTTTATAAGGTGGCACACTGTAAAGACAAAGGATTAACATCTGTTCCGACCAATTTACCGCCTGATTTAAAGAAATTGGATTTAAGTTTTAATAGACTGACCAGACTTGATGCAAACGTCTTTCTTAGATATAAGTATCTAGAACATCTAATGCTTGATAACAATGTTATTAGAGTGTTGCATGAAAAGGCTTTCATTGGCTTATCATTGTTGAAATATTTGTCTATTTCTAACAATTATTTGAACGTAAGTGAATCGTACCCCTCTGGAGTGTTTCAGTCCTTAAAGACTTTATCAGTTTTAGACATAAGTAGAAATATGAAAACACCAGAATACAACCCGTATAGAATTCACGTTGGTGAACTCTCTAACCTGCGTGAGCTGTCTATTGATCTTGTGTTGAACGCAACGTTTGGACAGAAATTTAAGAGTCTGCACAATTTACACAAGTTGAGATTTGACTATTGTCACGTTAAGATTTTGTACAATGAGACGTTTTTCGATATGCCGGTAAATATAAAGGAATTCCACATGACAACTTGTAAACATTTTGTCGTTATTGAAATCGGCGTTTTAGTTCCATTTCCCCATCTAAATGTATTGAATCTTACTAACAGCAATATTCACTTAACCCAGGCTCTCAGAATTTTACATCCATTACAGAATAAATCAATGGATGCGATTCTTTTTCGTGGAATAACTCGTGGTAATATTGAACGTGACCTGGACGCGGTTGTTCTGACACTGAAGATGATGAAATATATATCAACTATCTGTATAAAGACCTTAGACTTTTCGGACAATGAGATTATTTCAGTTAAAAACAAATCAATAGTTTCGTTTAAACATCCACAGTGCTTTGAACATATAATGTTATCATCTAATAGTTTTAGTTTAGAAACTTGGGCAGTTAATCTTTTCTTGTTTGTATTCAGGATGACCAACATCAAAATGATTGATTTTTCCTATTTTCCACTAAGATTCAAAAACCCAGTCTTCCTTGATGTGGAGAGAGAAAACAACCATACGACAATTCAAAGACTCGAAAACAAAGGTAGATTAGAGGTACAGAATATAGTTACGGTTCCGAAACAAATTCAATTTTTGAGAATAACACATATAATGGGTAGAAATGGTATCAAGGAAATAAAAGTAATAAACAGCTCCCTTCGGCATCTAGAGGTTTCTTATTTTGAAACAGATGTTTTCCCGATTATAACTTCAGAAGGATTTAATAATTTGGAGCATTTAGATTTGTCTGGTATAGGTTCTGATATTACTATTGGAGCTGGAAAAATTCCACTTTTAATCCATTTGAAAACACTCATCATGAAGGAAACAAAACTGTACCTCGTTTTACAAACTAATTCATCGATACTTAGTCTTTGTCCGAATATCAAGAATTTAGATATATCATATAACTATATATGGAAAATAAATTCGCTTGGGCAATTGCCGCATTTAACAACTCTCAATATATCTCATAACTTGTTTGATAATGTTCCCGATGTAGTTACAAATTTTGATAGCCTTACCGAACTCGATTTATCACACAATCAATTAACTACAATTCGGAAGAAAATACACAATTGGATTGATACCCAGCATACCAAATTTGGAACTTTTAAATTATATCTCAGTAATAACCCGTTGATTTGTTCGTGTGGTACAACAACATTTTTGCGTTGGATTCTTACAACTAAAGTAAAGTTAAATGCAAATGGCAATTACTCGTGTTGGGTTTCTTCAACTAAAAAAATCAATTATACCAGAAATGTCGCTGACGATTTTCATAATTATTTCGTTGACTGTGATACTGCCGTTTGGATCAAGTTAGGCATTTCATTATTAGTTTCTGTTTTATCAAGTTTAATTTGTATTACGATATTGTATAATTTGAGATGGAGGATAATTTTCTTTTTCTTCCGAAATATCCGGAGATTTGCAGAGAAAGGTCTTGAGCTAACTTTTGATTATGACGTTTACGTTTCATACTCAGATGACTGCATTTCTTTTGTAAAAGAATTACAAAAGAAAGTAGAGGACGAATGGGGTTTCAAAATTTGCTTAGAAGATAGAGATTTCATTGTAGGCGAATCGATAGCTACCGAAAGAGCTACTTCCATTCATAGATGCCGACACGTTATATTTCTAGTTTCGCCATCTATTATCGAAAATGAATGGACTCGTTTTGAAATCGAGCGAGCAAAGTATGAAAAGTTTTCAAAAAATCTGCAGAAGATAGTTGTTATTACAAGAGATATCCTTTTGGATAATATTCCCGTTGAATTTTCCACTATTTGGAAGGATGTACTTTTAATTCAATGGCCAGTCGAACAGAATGAAGTCCAAATGGCTTGGCAAAAGCTACGACTTTGGTTCTTTTGAAGTATTTTTAAAGTATAAATTTTAATCTTAACATTCATGATACACTTATATTCGTATGCGTTTTCTTTTCACGGGGTTTTTCATGTCAACGTATTTTAATATTGATTGTTTGTGTCTCATGGCTAAATCATCGAAACAAAGAGGGATTGCACAGACATGATGCACTATTATGCTTTGTGAAAATACGTATTATAAGAACCTGTATATGACTGTGTGCATTGTAGCAAGTAAACCACATAGTAATTGTTTTTGTATATTCATGTTACTGATTAGGAATGAGATATACATTTAATCACCTATAATTAAAGTTTTCATAAAACTTGTACTATGATTATTATGGACATCTACATTCTTTGCAAAGTTGTTCTTTATTCATTGTTGTACAGTAAGTTTAAAACAATTCCACTGCAGCTATTTATGCTTTTATAGTGAAGTTGAAATCAAAGGAAAACAAACAACACAATGACAATAAAAAGATAAACAGAAGAACAGCACTACATAGAATACTAAGATGGAAATTTAAGGCCCAATCAAAATCCAGGGAAAGCGTAGGTGCTTCGAAACGGCCTCAGTTTAATCCCTGTAATCAGAAATTATATCAGTTTTGGAATACTAGAGCCAAAAATACTGATATATACTTTTTCGCAGAACTCGAATTTGACTAGTTTCCCTATTTAAAAATTATTATTTACACTTCAACACTTCCATCCTGATATATTGTGCATGATACATTTATCACAGTCTGCCCTCGACTAACGTTTGCAAATTTTATAAAGTTTTTTTTAACAAATTTGTAGGAAATGTAACAGCATTGTATTATTTTACAAAAGATTTGAAATTAATTGTGTAAATTGTAATATTTTTATAAAGTTCTTAATTTTGACACTATTAACGATCCGTTTGGGCACCAGAGGCATGCCCGGTACACAGTGCACGCACCATGGCACCGTTGTACCGCACTAGAAGTATAGTCATTATCCGTTGTGTTGTTTTTAAATATATTTCATGACACGTATACGCCTTTTTCATATAGGTGGAATCTCTGAATATTCAAAATGTTACTTAATTTTTGAAAAACGCAATTCAAAAACATATGTGAGATAATTTGTCATACTATTTCAATTTTTAGACTGTTCAAGGAAAATAGATTACGTAAAAATTATATTAAAAGTAACAAAGTTTAAAGATCAGACACCTTTTATAAGATCTGAAACCGTTAAAATGTCTCTAGTGATCTAAAGCACAGACATAATATTACATTATTCACCAACTTGTGATGTTGAATTCAAAAATTGTACATTTTCACATGCACGCGCATCACGTATAAACTCAGATATGTGAACGCCATACGATGAGACAAAAGGTATGTTTCTACTGAGAAATGTGGAGTTGAAAATGTGGAAACTAAATTGATTTGTCATAGGTTCTTGTTTGAAATCGACAACCTTTGTCATTTTCATGAAAGCTTCTTTTTTGGTTAGTATCCTTAATGTCAAGTTTACAGTGATATGCAAGATACATGCAATCTAAAATGTGGCAGGACATAACTAACATAACTGAATGTGAAATTGAATACTTGTCATAGTAATTTTTGTTGTTTCTTGGAAGTTTTTGCACACATTCTGATGTAAACGAATTCGAAAACAAGTCAACAAGTATTATGACCTTAAAGAAGAAGTACTAAGTATGTATCTACGATTCTCATTTTTGTACAAACTGCATTATATCTAAATAGAAAAAAGTCCACATTTTAATTGATTGAGCGTTAGGAATAGTAGTATGAGGTGGAGAAAAATAAAAAAAGTCTTGAGGAAATTGTCAAATTGTAATGAAAGTATTTGAAGATTTTGTAGATCTTTGAAGTTGTTAAGAATCAACATCTGATTTACATCGCTGTTAAAGTATACATAACATAAATACCTTTAAAGCCCAACCTTTACTGTAGCAAGAATGGTTGTTAAAATTTTAGAATCATGTTTAGTTGATCCTCACGATGATACCCAGGAAAAAACATACGAAAATGAAAATAAAGATTTGATTTCGTTTAAACTGCAAGCAGAGAAAGGTCCGGTGCGTGAATGAGTTAAATATTTCATGCTAGTCAAGCAGAGAATGATCTGATGTGTGAACGAGTTAAGTATTTCATACTATTTATGCAGAAAATGATATGTTGTTACAGATTAAGTATTTAATGCTGTGCATGCTTACAAAATTTCAAATTCACGCTGAGCAGAACATTTTCAAATGTAGGAACATGACTATACCAATGAATTATGGCAACAATAGTTTACCGGTCATCAAATTTAATACATCAATTAAGAAGTCAGATCGACGTAACAAAACAAAATCGCATAAACTCCTTAAGGAGCAAGACTGGATGTGTCGACAGAGCAAATGTCTCCTGCTAATAGATATAAGAAGATGTGGTATGAGTGCCAATGAGACAACTCTCCATCCAAGTAAAAATTTATAAAAGTAAACCATTATAGATCACAGTACGGTCTTCAACACGGAGCCTTTGCTCACACCGAACAGTAAGCTATAAAGGGCCACAAAAAATTACTAGTGTAAAACCATTCAAACGGGAAAACCAACGGTCTAATCTATATAAAAAACGAGAAACGAGAAACACTTATGAACCACATCAACAAACGACAACTACTGAACATCAGATTCCTGACTTAGGACAGGTGCAAAAAAATGCAGCGGGTTTAAACGTTTAAATGGTACCAAACCTTCACCCTTTTTCTGAAACAATAGTGTAACATCACGACATAGAAAGACACACTATAAAATATCAACTGAAATAGCTTAACTCAATCAAAGGACATATTATCACCATTGAACATACACTGAACAAATAAATTTGACCTATGACACAATGTAAATACAAAATAAATAAACTGAGGGAAGAATAATAAAAGTAACATGTTATATCGGTAAGAAATGTTAAACAATTAAAGAAAAACAATATGCTCGAACAAAAATACCATCCATTTGCAATAACTTTAAACACAGGTAAATGAAAATAATTTTGTTGTTAGGTATACCTGTACAGTACCAATAGAGAAAGGAAATATTTTTACAAAATAAATAATTTTGAATACAAAATAAATAAACTAAGGGAAGAATAATAAAAGTAACATGTTATATCGGTAAGAAATGTTAAACAATTAAAGAAAAACAATATGCTCGAACAAAAGCATCCTTGTCCGCCATGCGGAGCCACACTCAATCAAAATCGGGAATAGGGCACAATCGGTAAAAGAGAGGCGAAGGATACCAAAGGGACATTCTCCGGAAGGGTAAGCAGATCACAGACAACACAATTTGTTCCGGTGTCTAAAGATCTAAGTTGAAAAACAGACATATCGTATCGGTCAACCAGTTCTTGATCGTGACCCTTAAACTTGTGTAGAGTCGATTTCAGTATGCAGTCCGTATAGTGTGAAAGAGAGGCGACAGATACCAAAGAGACACTAAAACTCATAGTCGAAAATAAACTTTATTAGGTCTTTCCACTTTTCCATGGAAAGACCTTTTGATTTTGTTCTGATTATTATTTTTTTTTCTTCCGCCACTTTTATTTCTTGCGAGAAGATTTCATATCTAAAGCTGTCGCTTAGATATTTGGTATATGAGATCGAACAGTTAATACGCTTTTCAAACTGACACCGTTTAACCGAACACTTTTCTTTGTATCAGTTATCTCCCCAAACACTGTTTTTCTTGTGATTGCTACTCTTTCTCAACCGTAAAAGAAACTGACAAATTTATTTTTCCATATTGCTCGTTATATCCTCAGGTTGTCGAAAAAAATTTGACCGAAGCGATCCGGACACTCCATATGAGAGTTATTTCACCTTATGTATTTGATATAATTGAAATGTATTTGTAATTGGTAAACCATAAGCGAAAGACACCTAGGGTCTTTTGATTTGAGGTCCAAGGTCCACCAAAATAAAAATGAGGTCAAGGTCAAAGGTCAAGGTCATGTTCAAAATTTTGATTTTGGCTAAATATTGCTTCTCCTCAGAAACCGTATAAGAGAGCGACAAAATATTTTACCTAAATCGTTAGCTGAAACATGTCGTAACATTTATATTTTGGTTAAGAGCGTGCGTCAACATTTAATGGGAGTTTCCCCCTCTTATGTTTAAAGTTAGCTGTATTGGGATATACCTCATTAACTATATACAGAAGGGACTAAGGGTCATCTGATTTGAGGTCCTTCCTATATGACCTTGAAATTAAGGTCAAGGTCAAAGGCAAATTTGACGTTCCAGATATTGATATTTGCTATAAATTCAAATTTATACGTGACAAAGCTATGGGTTTTTTTTTTCAATAGGTTGGCAGTCATATGGCGTTGAAAAGGTCAGCAGGAAGTGACCTTTTGTAAACAGGACGTGGCCATTTCCTGCACTGATTTAATTCAAAAATACCTAGAACCATATCTTTTTGGAATCAGTGTGAAGTAACCTATCAGATAGTACATGAAGTGAAATTCTAAACCGGAAGTTGCAATTTAGTTCCCTTATTTCAAGCAAAAGTATAAAGAAACCT